GAAATGTGATACACAGCGTACGCAACAGTTTCAAGTTCATTCAGTGCAGAGACATGATTGGTACAGCATGTATGCTACAGTAGTTCAAAACTTTACAGTTTTATTTATAAAAGGAAGCTTTGGATTTACATTGAAGGATTCATGGATATGTTTGACATAGAATTTGAAAGAATATAAGTATGATTAATATTGTTTTTACAATTGAAGGATATGCTTGTATGTACTGTACTTTGGATCATTAACCTAGCTAGGCCTAGGCCTACACAGTATAAACCTAACCCCACAAAAGCCTATGCCCTAGGCCTATAGTATAATATTTATTACCTGTAGTAAGGGCAGGCCTAGGCCTATATGCCTATTTAATATGGCATTTAATATTAGTACAGTGTTTATTTTCAATTCACTCAAGCATGTCCGGTGGTGACGTATGTATTTGCATCGTCGTCGCAAAACTAAAACAAGCCCTTATCATCTGTGTGGCCAACATTGTAATACGTCATAGATAATTAGCATATCGTCCTAGATTACTCGTCGTCGCATATCTAAAACTCCTTAATACTTCGAGGGAACGAAATAATATTTCGAGGGAACGAAACCCTCAAAGTGATTTCGAGGGAACGAAATAATATTTCGTTCGAACAAAATATTATTTCGTACGAACAAAATATTATTTCGTTCGAACAAAATATTATTTAGTTCGAACAAAATATTATTTCGTTCCCTCAAAATGATTTCGTTCCTTCGAAATATTATTTTGTTCCCTCGAAATATTATTTCGTTCCCTCGAAATGGTTTAATATTTTCTTTAACCATGTCCCTTTAGGGGCTCCCTAGAGATCCATCATTATGTGATATCAAAGATCTTATAATGACAAGATTACGTTCTCCGCGAATTCTGCGTGCAAATTCTGTAATAACGCAGTGTAGGACGCCCGGTCTTGCAATTACAGTTACTTTTGAACTTTGACATCTATGGTCTCAGTGTACATTTTGGAAAAACCGCCAGAGTAACAACTAGGACGCCCTCATTCAATTACAAATACTTTTTATTGTTTTTTTGTTAAACGCAAATCGCGGTTCTTCTTATAAGATCTTTGGTGATATTCAAAATCCTGACTGCATCGAGCTGTTGCGGAGCTCCATTGTGGTACTTCCTTGACTTATTTGATTGCTGAACTTCTTAAGCAGTGCCTCTCGCACCTGAAATAGAAGTTGTAGGGTAAGCATTGATTGCTGCTGTTTTTAATATTACAATATTTTATGAGAAAAAAAAACAGCAACACTGTATCACCTCTTTACTGAAAGCGCACTGCGACAGCCAGATAAAGAATCCTTGCATGGAGTTGAAAATAACGTGCATGTATTTCAACACTTCCCACTCACAAAAGACAACGACGACACCGAAAATCCACGAAATTCCAACGGTTGGAGTAAGGAGCAGTATACCACTAAAAAGAGTTCTTATATAAAAACAAAATAGAAAAATAATATAATATGTTTTAACGAGCTGACAAGACATTCATATTTTAAAAAGCTTTTCATATTGATTTTTTATAACTTAAATGTATCAATTAAACACAAACAGTTATTTTATAATTATGCTACTAGGGCATCCTCCAAACTTTTCCTCTCAAACCATAAGTCCAGATTAGAGTTTCGAACCCCCGGTATAAACAAATAGATCCACCAACATAACGCAGAATGGACCGTTCGTATGAAACTGAAAATTATTCTTAAAACCATATGAACGTGCGTTGATACTCGATACAGCACTCTTGATGAGTACCTCTACAGACTACGTTTAATTATATGTCGAATATGTTTCAACGAAATAAAAGGAACATATATGTGAATTAAAAATAAAAATTATATTACAATAATTAAAAGATTGAATGTGAAATATAATCAAAGGTAAGGAAATGTAAGAATCGGAAAGAAATGAAAGAAAGGTATGAGGAAAGGGAAACTAAGGAAAGGAGAAACATTAATAAGAAAAAAAAGGAAATAGAAATGTGAATTAATAATGGTTAATGGTTATTAATTTATAGAGCGCAAAATACAAAAGGGGAATACAAATTGGTAGCAAAGAATATGTAAAGAAAAACAAGAAATTATAATAAAAGAAAGTGTAAGGTAAAGAAAGGAAAAAGAAAGGTAACACAAGGAAGGAAATTTAGAGAAATGTAAATAAAACGAAATGGTAGGGGGAAAAGAAAAGAAAAAAAAGAAAAATAAAGGGCTTACAAGAAATAAGATAGATATAAAATATACAAGGTACTAGAAAATAAAACAAAAGAAAAGGAGAACGGAAAAGGAAAACTTAATGAAGGAATACGAAGGTGAGAAGGAAAGCTAAAGAAATGAAATGAAAAGATGGAAAACAAAGAGGTATATAAAGGAAAAGAAAAGGAATCGAATATGTAAAGAAAGAAAAATTAATTTGAAAAGAAAAGGAAATGAATATGAAAAAAAGGAGAAAAGGAAAAGAATTGAAAGAATTGAAGTAGGAAGGAAAATGAAAAGGAAATTAAGACATGAAAGCAAAAGAAAGATAAAGGAAAGGAATAGTGTAATGAAAAGAAAGGTCAGAAATCGAAAGACACGGAATTAAAAGAAAAAGGAATTGATAAAGAAAGAGAAATGAAGGAATAAAAGATGTGGAAAAGATAAATAAGACAAGAAACAAGTTTTAGAAAGGAAATGAAAGGAAAGGAAGTAAATGAAGAAAAATTGAAAGATAAAAGAAGGATAAGAAACAAAAAAATATAAAGAAAAAGTTACAGTAGAAGTAAAGGAAAGGATTGACAGGAGGTAGGAATGAGAGAAAAGAAAGAAAGGGGAAGAAAAGACAAGAAAAAGGGGAAAAGAAGGGTAAGAAAATATGTTCAAAAATTAATTCAATAGATCGAAGAAAATTAAAATTACTGTATTTTTCAGAATTTTCAAAACTTAAAATAAATCCAGTTAATCAATTAATATAGTTGATATCCATTTTATTTATTTATTATTATTATTATTTTTAATAGGTGAAATAATTTATCAAACTTATCTGTAAAGCGCATAGAGTTATTTTACATTATGCGCTGTATAAGTTAACACTTTTATTGTTTATGGTCAAAGGTGAATAGTTAAAATCACGAAATATTAAATAGGTCTATTAGATGGATTATTAGAAAAAAAATCTAATAAAAACACTTTTGTCTAACCTGATTCGTTTCAGATTTTCCATTTCTTGTCCAGTTTGGTTCGGTAGTTGAGATTTCTTGAAAGCTATATAGCCAATAACCACTAACTGTACGAGGACAATCTATGAACATATATTATGTTGCGTGTAATCACAATAATGTAGACAAATTTTATTAGCTGCAATAACTTTCAAATGTAGGAGAAAATATGTATTTTAATTAGATTTCGTCTTGTTGGTAGTTAACACGTTATATCGTCATTGCGGACTTATAAAATCCGCATACGCCTTAAAACTAAAAGAAAATGCATACGTTTAGAGTCCGTACTGAGCCCAAAAAATCCGCAATGAAAATATAACGTGTTAGTATAAAAAAATATTAATTACCAGAAGAGTGAGGCACACAGGAGAAACGAACGCCCATATGGCACCCGATCCACTCTCCAACCAGCATCTAGAATTTAAAATTTAAAAATTGTAAATATGCTCTAAAAACCAGATGGATAAGCATAATAAATTATATAGTATGGTGTAAACGATTTGGATGGAAATGATCTGTGTAATAATTATTCTTAGCTTCATCGTCATCATCGATATTGTTGAGGTTATTGTTATAATTATTTTACTATTGTTAATGTTATTCTCATTGTATTTGAAAATGTTACTGCTTCTCGTACTAAAGATCCCAGATTATATGATAAATAGGAAGCTTCAAAATATTTAACCATTAAGTTACAACCAGCATGTAAATCGTAGCACGTATAAGATATCTACAAAGAAATTCCACTATTAAAACACTCGACGTTTGTAATAAAAATAAAATTATGACATTATCATTAATAATAATGTGAAATTCGGATTTACTTTTCAGATGCATAGTTTTGTCTTGTTAAACAAACTGTCGTTCCCACTATAGTGGCAGGTCCAATCCAACCAATGTATCGACTGTACGAGAAGCGCCTCTCATGATCAGCAAACGGATGTTTGATCTTCATGTATATATCTGTCGACATTATCAACATCCACGAAAAAGTTGCCAACATACTGTAGTGCAAGCACCCAGCAAGAATACTGCATGCGATCTGTAAAGAAAGCAGTTTAATGTCAAATATGATAAAGATAAAGAGAATTATTATGATGATGCCTCTATTGCAATAGAGAGTTCTTTTCGGCCGACGTCAACAAACGTTCTAACTTTGTAGGGGTTCTCCGAAAGAAATTCCAAGCAAATTACACAGGATTAATTTTTGTGAACATTAACATATCTTCGTGAGGTCAAAATGTAAAGTTTAGGCTGGAATGTAAGATATTTAATGTGCTGCAACTTAGTGACCTTAACAAGTTCATCAACTTAAAATAAAAATAGTAAATGTTCATTTAGGTAACACAAATGTAAATGTAAAGTACAATAGACAGTTTTTGGTGAGCGATCATTGTGGCATTGGTGATGGTTGTGTCATTGGTAATAGTTGTTTTATTTTTGAATAATATAAATTAAACGTACTACGTTCTTTACATCGATTTCAAGCAACAAAAATAACATATTGGCAAAGAGTAGTGCAATGACCAAATGGCGCAAAATTCTGTACCGGTCCGAGTTCCTTAAATCTCTGAAAAGAATTAATACAACGTTGTTTGTAGTGTAATACAAGCCTCTTTTAGACATTCTTCTTATAGAAAATTCAAGAATATATCGTCATTGCGGACTTATAAAATCCGCATACGCCTTTAAACTAAAAGAAAATTCATAATGTTGGGGTCCGTACTGAGCCAAAAAAAATCTGCAATGAAAATATAACGTGTGCCAACAAACTGCCCTATTGGGATTATAAAACTGTCTTTACAAAAGCAACCTTTTGTTTGAATCATCAATATGGTTAACATTAGTATCGTTATTATTTACTTTATAACAATTATATTAGTTTGTCTATGTCAACTTACTTTAAGCAACAGACAACAAGAGTGATGATGAGAAACACATTCGAAATGGAAACCCCAATGGTCGTAAGCACTGACAAAGTCCTGTTATGTATCTGTGAAATATAAAACTAATGTATAGAATCAGCTTACTAAGCCTAACGCCAGACACTCAATGTAAACGGCGGTCGTAGGCGGCTGTGATTCTATAAGGAACGCAATGCTACCACGCGTGCGTATCGGATCGTTTTTAGTGACGATCCGTTCAAATTACCACCCATAATCAGTAGACGGCGTTGCGTCGTCTTTCCCTGACAGGAAACAGAGTTTGAATTAGAGCCCGTCCTAGACAAAGAGCACAATGTAGAACCTCACATTCTTACCGTTTAAGGTCTCATTAAAACAAGATTTCCATGCATTGTTACCTGCTCGGGTTTCATCAGAATCACAAATGACGTCATATGAGTGCATGTACACGTCACTCCGCTAATCATATAGTCGTTATAGTTTGTCACGCAACCATCCGTTTTCCACAAACTTGAAAATAAGCAGTGGTGCACAATGTAGATATTTATTACATACATTTCAATGAAAACATAAAACAAAGGTTTAATTTTATATACTATATATGTTTTACACTACAGCTGCTGCTAAGTCATCAACAAATCCAATAGCTGTATAATTATTGTTGTTCGGGCGAGAAAAGACAGAGGAGAGCACCTTTCTCATGATAGTAAATAGTTCATACAAATCATAACCGTAATAAAAATATATATTATATAACATTTATTTAAATATTATTTTAACATAATTATAATTTCTGATTTGATTTATTACCATTCAATTGTATTGTTTGCAAAACAATTCACTTAATTATAATCATCGTGTTTTTAATAACATATTGGGATGAAATTTACGTTTGTTTTATCATAAAAATATTTGTTTTCATTTAGTTAATCATAAATTTTATGTTTGGAAAAATATAATAGTATTAACTTACGCTAAGTCATTTATATCGTGTTTGTAGTGGCATGCTGGGATGAGATTTACGTTCGGATTATTTTCTGTAGTTACATCCTTGAATATATTAGTAAAGGAAAAGTAGAAATTTCAAATGAAAGAATGCTAATTCGACTTGAAATAGAGCTAATATCTATTGGAATAGATAGAGAGGACAATGGCATTTTTTTGTATATTCTTTTACTGAGTATATTTCTGCATGTCTTCATTTACCCACAAATTATTCATTCCATTAGAGGCCTGTACGTCTATGTAAAATAACATTATTATTATTATTGATGGGCGCATAATATACACAAGCAAAAAATTAAATGTATTTTTTTAAAATAAATATTGTTATAATGAATATAATCTTGAAATTTAGATCCAAGCATGTTTTACCTTAATAACTGGGAAGTTGACCTTACAGTTGATACTTATTTTAGTGTCATTCCTGTCGTAAATGTTAATTGTCACGATGTCAGATGCAATAACTGGCAAGTAATTCCCATCACTACAAAATATTTTTAGAATCAACAATTCAATTACACAAACTAAGCATAAAATTCAATTTTATTAATTTTGAAAATTAACATTTAATTGACCTCACCATACAGTTTAATACCAATAAATATTTAAAACACAATACACCGAGATGACTTTCTTAAATTGTTTTTCTTTGGCACCAGACTATCCTACCACACCTACAGGCTAACATTTACGTTAAAGTATAAATTACCTTTAGAGAGTCTTATATTCAGTAATAATAGAAGGCAGAGAGTATAAAACGCGTGTCAGATGCCCCACCTCATATCATTATGTGTCGATCGTAGTGAATTTTATACACTTCTTCTTATAAGGCCCACTATTGAGTTTGCTTTAGTGTACTGCCTAATCATCACGAAAAGTACCCTACGTTCCTTCAGATGAAGATGAAGAACCTTGCATTTTGCTTCATTGAAAAGTATTAACCATCGTCAGCAAAAATTGTACCTGTGCTCTACAAATTGTCCAAAGTGTTATTAACATATGTTAGGAAAAGTGTTGATCCAAGGACCGTACCTTGTGGGACCCAGATGAAATAGGTACTCGTGAATACAGAGCCATTAACGGAAACACATTGTTAAAGGTTACTTAGGAAATTTGATATCCAATTAGGAACACAGATTTGGATACCAAATGCTGAAAGTTTAATTTCGAGACGCTCATGAGTCACAGAGTCAAAAACTTTACGGTAATCCAGATACAATATGTATGCACACCTTCATCTCTAGCATTACGCGGGTCTTGGAGAAGTTCCAAGAGCTGAGATAAACATGATCTACGAGATCTAAAACTATGCTGATGAGAACTTAGGAGATCATAAAACTCCATATGATTTACACTAGCATCTCTAACATTTTGTTCAAGTAACTTACAGACAACCGAAGTTAGACAGATTGGTCGATATTTAAGGGGTCATGAGGTGAACAACCCTACGTTATGTGCCATCTTTCCAAATGTTTGGTAGATTGTCGGATTTTTAAAGAATAGTCTACAGAGGAGTTGTCGGTGATATAATATATGCCTTTAAGATTCTGGGATGTATGGCATTTGGATCTGGTGATGAGTTAATTGTCTTTTGACCCTAGTGACGTCGTCTAGAGAAAAGAACAAGTTATCTAGCGGTAGACGTGCAAAAACATAATCAAGTTTAGGAATATCAGAAGTATATTTTTTTGTTAAAAACTGACTGAAAAGCTTGTTTAAGAATTTCACTCCGAGCATACGAAAAGAAGGCCTTTGGGTTTTTTTTAAATGTTAAGTGTTATATCCTTTTCGAAGTACCATTTTGTGCACCGGACTACAAAAAACAGGTGCATTACGTGCAGTACAGAATTGTTTTAAACGTTCATGAGAAGGTATTTCCAATAGCGTTCGAACTAGGTTTTTTGCTTAAATATTTGCTAAAACTTTGCGGGTCATCCATTTTCTTCTTTACATTGCTAGAGGTGAAATGTTTAGATTGTGGAATGTACTTAGATTTAGACTCATTTAGAATATCATATCCAAAAAGCGATTCCAAATAACTTCAAGAGATTCACCCATCAGTATAGAATTTCAGTCAAGATTAAGAAAATAATTATAAAAATGGACAGATAATCTCAATTATTATAGATAATTTCTCTTCCCACTTGAATTCTTTGAAATTAAAATCTCCACAAATAATAATTTGGTGCTGTGGAATATTACAAATCTTGTTTTTAGTATCAATAATGCGTCCCCCACCCACCCCCTCCAAAACGATTAAAAACATTAGAAGTTTCATGAAATTTCCTGAAATTAAACATTTCCTAACTAAAATTGCAACACCGCCATTACCGTCCGAATTAGGACGATCTTTCCTATTATACCATGTAGATTTCAGTACAAAAAAGATATATGAAATATCGCCATCAACCAGCTTTCTTTAAAAATTTTAATATATGTGGGTCATCTCTTTGCACCAAAATTTGAAATATATCAATTTTATTCCTAACGCATCAACATTAATATAAGTATATGCATCATAAGCGGGAGGTTTCAATCTGAAGTCTGAAGAGGAACTGCATCGGATGCTGTAGGTATTGGTGTTTGACATGTGTTATTTAGCTGAATATAAATTTCTCCAGTCTCTCTCTACTTATCACTCATTTTCGACAAGTATTCCCCTGTCAAAGAGCTGCATTTTTTTTAATCGCGCTCGTCCAACCAAAGATAATAAATAGCAGAAGATAGAGCAGCTTCCCAATATAGTGGAACATCCATTCAAAAGGCACTGTGGGTACATGGAGAGCAATTTTACTGCATCTGCACGGCGGCGCTATGTAGTAATAATAAAAGCGCTGCTCATGTTTGTTTGTTTCCTGTATTTTCTCCACTTAGTAAAATGTTCAAATTTTACTGAAACCGCATGAGGGCGAACGTTCCATCGATTTTAATGCAATACGCGGAGCAGCTCATTCTTCTGCTATTTAAGTTCTTTGGTCCAACTTAGTTCGCTCAAGCCGTTTCCTTTTTGTCCTACCCAGATAAATTACAAGATATAGAAATTTGTTTGAATCAATCAGAGTACTCCTAGAAGCGATAAAAAGAAGGTTAAATGCTATATATATAGCTATATATATATATATATATATATACATATACATATACACACATACATATACATACATATACATAACATATACATTATATATATATATATAATGTATATGTTTATGTATATGTATATGAGTGTATATGTATATGTATGTCCCCCATCGGGGAGAGCTGCCCCCCCCCCCACGTCGGGCAAATCCTGGCGCTACCCCAACCACGTTTACTTTGTTCTCACGACTCCTTAGGGCAAATAACGAGGCTTTAGTTTTAAATTATTTTATTTTTTTTAGATGAGTCCTGGGCAAACATTCTAACCCCTTAATTTTCAAAAGCGCGACACGTCTATAAGAAAGCATGGTATTACGGTTGATCACATTTAGTTAAACAGAAGGTAGGCGTGAGGTACAGTCTAAACAAATTTAATATCATTATCTTTAAGTCGCTAATGCAGGGATACATCTCAACCTTCACAAATTTAGTCCTAAGCCAGTATACATAACCGTTCTCTTATAGTCCGATCACAAAATGAACAAAGCTAGCTCAGATCACATTATGTACAATAGAGCGGATATTATACAGCATGCAGCAGTTTTGATGTGCAGATAAATGTTGGATGTCGTTGGGTTAAATTTTCTCACGCAACGTTAATTTGGGAACAAAATATCAGAGTTTCGGAAAAATAAAAAGAACATAATAATAATAATAATAATAATAATAATAAAGTGGCAATGTTTCATGCTGTGGACGATCGTTTATTTGAATTCCAACAATTCCGTAGCCATGATTTTCCAACAGTATGGGACAGTGTAAGTGTGGACAAATCCGAAAGTGGATATATAAAATAAATAATATAGACCATTCTAAAAAAAAAAGATTTAACTAATGTGGACCCACATTTTAAAAAAGTGGACCCATTTAAAAAATGCATAAAATGTAATGTGTACCATCTTTAAACATCTTCTTCTTAACATGTGAACCCATTTCATGCATTAAAACTGAATATTGTGTACCACTTTAAACATTGGGACCATTTTACATTAAAAAAAATATAACTAATATGGACCCATATATATAATAGTGGATAACTTTAAAAATTCTACCTATCTTTTGCATAAAATCTAACTAATTTTGACCACCTTTTTTATCCATCTATATCTAAATTATGTTAACGCCTCGTCAAATCATTTCTGAACCCCGCTAACAGGAATGTGCTAATTTTCCATTCACTGGGGTTCCTAGGGCATGAAAACCCCCTCGGTTCTGTACCGCAGTGCTCGGTTCTAAAATATATCGTGCCAGGCCAAGAAATAAACAGTTTGATCACCTCGGCCTATGTTTCACGAGTTTATTTACCGTCACTTTAAAACTACAGCATCCACACGATTTTTTATCGCAGACCGAGAAATAAACAGTCTGATCGCTCGGTGCTGATGAGCCGCATGTTTCTGTACTGCATGACGTCCGGTAAGGCTGCCAGTTGGCCTAAGTAACGGATTACTCATTGCATTAAATACTAAATTTAAAAAAAATACACAGTCTTATGGCTCTAACATCAGCAATTAATTGGATGTTTAGAAATCGTTTAGGTAAAAATATATAATTTCGCCTAGGCCTTGTTAGCCCACCCGGCCACCACC